ATAGAGTGCAGAATTCATGGTTCCATCAATTATGGCAAGTCGTCCTGAAGACATGTCAACTATTTTGTTTCTCATCTGTTCTTGAATTTATTTAGATTGCGGCATGATGTGTTGCTCTTTAAGCATGCTTCACTTTGTCAGACTGGTTCTATTTAAAGGGTTAGTTCACCCAAAAATAAAATTTAACCTGTGTTTTACTCACCCTCAAAGCATCCTAGGTGTATGTGACTTTCTTCTTTCAGACGAATCCAATCGGAGTTATATTAAAAATTGTCCTGGCCCCTCCAAGCCTTTCAATGGGGGTAAGCGGGTGTTGGTTGTCAACAGTTCAGAAGACGTGAAATAAAGTGCGTGCATCCGTAATAAAACGTCCCTCACACGGCTCCGGGGTGGGGAATAAAGGCATCCTGTTGTGAATCCATGCATTTTTGTAAGATAAATATCCATATTTGAAACATAATAAACACTTTTCTCTCACTTCCGCTGACTGGGGTACGCGGAAGACGTTCAGGCGGATGACGTATGACGCAGGCATCGTACACGCGCCTCTGAGAAATGCAGGAGCAAAGGGAACAAAGTTTCCTTACTTTAGCAAAGGAAAACCAGTCTCCTCTTGGCTTATATTGAAATCCTCCAACATTTTTCTTTACAAATCCTTGTTTTATGCTTCTAATTCGTGACCTGCATTTTGTTTTGTTCTCTCACCGTGTTCGACACTAATCATGCAACACCGACGTCCTACGTCATCCACCGACAGTCAGCGGAAGTGAGAAAAAAGTGTTTATTATGTTTGAAACATGGATATTTATCTTACAGAAATGCATGAATTCGCTACAGGTGGCCTTTATTCACCCCCCGGAGCCGTGTGAGGGACGTTTTATTACGGATACGCGCACTTTATTTCACGTCTTCTGAACTGCTGACAACCAACACCCGCTTACCCTCATTGAAAGGCTTGGAGGGGCCAGGACAATTTTTAATATAACTCCAATTGGATTCGTCTGAAAGAAGAAAGTCACATACACCTAGGATGCTTTGAGGGTGAGTAAAACACAGGCTAATTTTCATTTTTGGGTGAACAAACCCTTTAAGTAATTTCTTGATTCAACAGGTCTGGTAGTAATCAGGCCTGGGTGTGGCTAGTGAAATTTAACTCAGCTTTCTAAAATAATGTGGTTAATCACAGTTCTTTCATGATTTAACAGGAGTGGCCAATTAATTTTTCACATAGGGCCAGGTAGGTTTGGACAGCTTTTTTCCCTTAATAAATGAAATCATCATCTAAAAACTTCATTTTGTATTTACTTGCATTATCCTTGTGTAATATTAAAAATTGTTTGATGATCTGAATCTTTTAACTGTGACAAATATGCAAAAA